TCTGTACCCTACACCCCCTCTCCTTTGGCAGAGAGATTACTTCTGAGGGACAGTGGAAAGCACCTTCCCAGAAGCAAAGAAAATCACAACCCTCCTTTATAAACCTTCCTTTGTTGGTGCCTGGACCTGCAGTGCATCTTCACGATACATCTGCGGGTGAAATGGGAGCCTTTCTGAGAAAAGGTATCATGTCACATCTCTCACATGGGATTCTGCTACCCTCACCCAAATTTTTTTTTTTTTTTTTTTGAGTAACAGATAGGAAATGTGGGTTCTACCCAACAACTCTTTTACCTGTGAAGGAGTTTGAGCCTTTGTGCACAAGCAGGGCCAAGGGCTGCAGAGCTCAGGGCAGCTGAGACTCCATGAGCTGCGAGGCCAAGCGGGGTGAACAAACTGGGCCAGCCAGGTGTCCCCCATCTGGGAACGGACAGCAGTCCTGGGGAGGTGTCTCTGGAGCTGCAGGACTTGGACTAAGGACCTGGGAAGTTGATGGAACCATACTAATCAGTTCAAATTAGGGAGAAAAGGCAAACATCTACTAACAAGCTCTTGTTGCCACAGGGGATGAAACAAGGGAGCAGGCAGCTACTGACACTTTAAAGCAACACAAAGTGACATTTTAAAGTGTCACACTGTTGGTTTTGTTGATTTCTTTTTTTTACACAGCTGGATGAAGTGATGAAACCTGCTTAACCTCCTTGCTATCCTGCACAGGCAGGACTTTACCAATAGAAAATACAGGGCTCACATTGTTTTATGGAGTAGCTTTGGAGAATAATTTTAAGGAACTGTTGGGTAGAAGACAGCTGTAACTCATGGAAGTAAACTAGGTGCTGTGGTCTTCTCCAGCAACCTCTCAAATTGTTTGAACTGGGCAGTGAACATAAAAAAAGGGTTGATACCTTATGCACTGGCTTCTTTTTTCAGTGGTCTTAAGCTTTGTTTGACAGAGAAGCTTTTGGAGACTGTAAGGATTATGAAATCGATGTCTGCGGCCAGAGCAGTGAGAGTGACCTGCAGCAATATTGATATAAACCAGGATCTTTGCAGCTCTTACATTAAGTTGGGTTTTAAAAGCACACCGAGTCCTGTTTTCACACTCAGACCAGCCTCCCATTCTCTGATTTTCCTCTTACAGCACTTGACCACAGTGGTATTTTTATCAAGTTAAATTTTTACCGTTAAAAAAGCTGGAAGATGATGAAGTAGCAAACAAAGCATTTACATCAAACAATAAAAGTTTGTTCTTTGTAAATAAAATGTTTGTTGAAAATGGCACACGAGTCCATTTCTTCTGTGCAGGGATGGAGGAGGCAGAGTATACCGAACATGGTGGCTGTGTAAGCTTTGAGAATTCAGTGTTTTATAGTAGACATGGAAGCTATGGATTTGAGCTCTCACAACCATGTATTGGTATTAGCCAGACCTTGCCAACAACACTTCAGGCACTGTTCTATGAAATACAAAGGCTTATTTTTTAAAGGCTGGGAGGGCAATTAAAGTGAACACAAAAATAATGGCTGAGTACCTATTTCAGACACTAATATGCATGTAAAGATATTGAAGAAGACAAAATGGTTTGCTCAGTGGCTAAGGATGTATGGTATTTTTGCTCTTAGTATGACTAAAATGAGTGTTTGAAAAGTAAATGCAGAGCCACACTGGTTACACATGCTGAGTTGAACTGGGAAGGTACTTTTCTTGCTGATGCTAGTGCAAAAATGTCAGGTGTAACATGAGTTTAACTCAGACTCAAAGAAATGAAAAGTATTTCCAAAGTATGATCTGAGTCTATTACTGTATTTCCAGTTGAATAATAGTAACTGTGCATGACGAGTAGCAAGTAAGCTTCTAGGTGTTGAAAGAGCTTAATTTTAAGCAAAAATAATGAATAAGGAGGTTGCTACACGTCTGAATTAGCAAAAATCAAAATGTTTGTGACTAGCACATTATTAAAGTGATGCTTCATTGTAGTCAAAACCAAATCTGACCATGAGGAATAGCAGATTTTACTCACTGTGAGTAACTGGATATTAAAATGGCAAATGAACCTCAGTGTCTGCTAGTACAAACTAATGCACAATGAGAAAATTAATCCAAAGAACACCTATTCATGTATATGGGCATATATGTACATCAGGAGGTACTGCTCTAGTTTCTAGAAATGCTTAGGAAAGAATCTCGGAACAACTATGAAAAAAGCAACTCATTACTTTGAGGTGTCTGAAAAACGAAAACAAATAAATAGAAATTATTAGAAAATGACGGAGAATGTAGCAGAAAGCATTGCTCTGTGCATATATAAACTGTGCAAGTGCTTGGACTGCTCTTGTAAAAAAGGCACAGAAAGTTGTGATGAGGATAATAAAGATATATAACAGCTCCTGCATGACACATTCAACAAATTAGGCCTTTCAGCACAGAATAAAGAGGATGGAGAAAGGATAGTTTATGACTATACGAAGTTTATGTATTCATGGAGGAGGTGAACAGGGAAAGACAAATAGCTATTATTCCCCGTGGTGAGGACTCAGGAATGTCCCATGAAATTATGTAAGTGCAGGTTTTCAGAAAATTAAACTTTTTTTTTTTTTTTTTTTTTTTTTACTGCACATAATTAGGCTATTGAGTTATTTACTCCAGGACCTTGTGGATTTTGAGCTATATATGGGATAAATATTAAATATACAGGTGACATCAAAATGTGGTTAGACAAAGCAATGCCAGAGAGTGAAGCAAGGTCTATTAAAAATATAGAACCAGACAGAGCCTCTGGGGGTGCCAGGGAGCTGTTGAATGAAGAGATGCAGACACAGCCTTTGGAAAGCTGTAAGGCACTACTGGAAGATGATGCCAAGATTTCTGCTATCTTGAAATAAGCTAAAACCCGTTGCTGTGTTGAGAAAGTTACAACTATTTATTTTCCTATTTTTACAAAGCTTTTGTTTTCACATTACTTTACAATCGACAAGAATCAATGTTTTGTACACATAAACACACTTTGTAACATTCATCACCTTCAGTGCCACCAGAATAACCTTCCTTACAGCTGAAATTTTACAGATGCCAAAGTTGTTAATACTTGTCTCACACCTCCTGCCAACTAGCCAGGTGTTAAGCAAAGCGTGGGCAATTAGCCTGCACCCCTGGATCTGTGCCCTGTCAGAACTCCTTGACAGGATTCCCCACTCCTTCCCAAATAAATCATTACATACTTCCTCACACATACAAGCAAGAAAACAACAATGAAGAAAAGTAAAGTTAGCACTCAGTTTTACCATAGATTTTGTTTGGTTGTAAATGAAAACCACTGTGGCAGTACTGAGCAACATGAGCTGTGGATTTCTTTCAAGCATTTACATTTACCACTATCAAACTTGGGTATTATTTTATAAAGTATAGTTGATTCTTCCATACATTTCTTCTTAGATTATTTAAAGATCTTACATATCTGACTTCATTTTCTAAACCTCTGAGAACAAAACCAAATTCACTTTGCCATTTTGCAGATACACATGCAAGTTCTAGTTTCTTGTAATTGTCTAAATATATAAAGTACTGCTGAAAATGGTGTGTTTCTTTCTGTATATTGAAGTAAAGATTTGCCCTGTATGTTGTACTTAGTACTGAACTTGGTTTTATGAGGCTTGTCTGGAAGTAGAAATGCTTTCGTCAGTAGGGATTTAAGTAAAATTTAAGCTTGATCTAGTAATTTGTACAGATAACAAGATTTTATTATCTCACAAGTCATATGCATAGCATTTCACCACCTAGCTTTCCTGCACACCCTCTTTAACACAGCATTATCTTCTGGTAGGATTTTTGGTCTCAGTGTTTTAAAAAGCCAAGACTCTTTACTGTGTTGTAATCAAGCGTTATTTAATAGAAGTCATTCTTGGTTGGATGTTCCGAGTGAAGTCAGACCACACGAGGCAGACCTGAGCCTGACAGCAGTACCGGGTACATTTTACAATCAAAGCCCAAGGTAGGGGCTGCAGTGCTGATCCAGCTAATTCATGCCTGGCTGGTCGTGGCCTCCATCCTCGGAAGCTTTCCTTAGAGATGAGGTTTAAAGGACACTCTAAGCAGAAGAGGTGGTTTTTATTTTTTTAATGTCAACAACAGAGCAGAGCTCAAGCTCCACAGAAATAACACCCAGTGCCTTTTCACATTGCAAGTAACTCTTCTTGCATTCACTATTTATACTTTCTGCTACATTACTTTCCCTCACAAAAACAACTTTAGCCCCCCCTTTGCACAGTAGCAGTGAAATCAAGGTTGTGCACACTAGTGAGGATACCAGAAAGGTTTCTTACAGCTGTAAGAAAGCCTACAACATTTCAAAGGGAAAACAATCTTAAATCTTATTTCTATCTTGTTCTTAGCCACCTGCTGCCTTTGTTATCCCTATGTCTGGCTACCCATATCATTCAACCTGTTAGTATCAAATTAGCAGTTAGTTGTTCCTTGACTTCCAAACTCAAGCCAGCTAAGAAGGTCTCTGAGGTTTCTTTCTCCAGCCCTGCCTCACCCTACAGAAAGCCTCTGGGAGCTGCGTTGTAGCTGACCGTTGTCCGAATTGGCCCACGGTGACGATTCCCTCGGGCTGCCGCGGCACTGGAGCACTTTCGGAGGGTCCCACAGGACTGGCTTTCCCTCTGGGACACGTTTTCTGCTAACACTCGGGAATCCACCCCGGCACGGGGCACCACTCGCAGGGTTACCGCGCCCTCTCTGCCCGCCGCCCGTCCCTTGGCAGGGCTCTGGGCGAGGACACCCGGGACCAACCCGAGGGCGCTTCCCTCGGGGGGCACCGGGGGCTGTTGCAGCCCCGCTCCGGCCCCAGCAGCTCCCGCCCCGCGTGGGGCCTGGCCGGCGGCCCCGGCCCAGCCCCCCGGTCCTGCCCCGCCCCGGGCTCCCCACCGCCTCCCGGGCGGCCGGAGGAGCCGGGCGCGGGCAGAGGCGGGCGAGGGGCGGGTTAAAAGGGGCGGCAGGTGAACGGGGAGGGAGGGACCTTAAAGCTCCGGGGCGGCGAGGCTGGAACCGGCCGCTCCGCGGGCACCACCGGACCCGGGAGCGGAGCAGCGCGGCGCGGCGGTCGCGTCCCGGGTGCCCTGCCCAGCCGTGCCAGGTGAGGGTCCGGAGCGGCTCCCGTGTGCCGGGGGTCGGGATGGGGATCGGGCCCCGAGCGGCTCCTGTAGCGTGCCGGCGGGGCAGGGATCGCGGAGGGCCGACGGCAGCGGAGAGGGGCGCTGCGAGGCGGGGGGGACCCGGTACCCACGCCTGGCCCCCGGGTGCCTGCGCGGACCCGTCGGCGTGGCGGCCGCGCTTGGGTTGGGACCGGCCGCCCCGGGCCCGGGCCGGGCTGGCAGCGTCCCGGGGCGCTCCCGCGGCGCAGCCGGCGCTCCGGGAGCAGCCGTGGGGCCTCTAAGCCGAAAGTGGCGTTTGGAAACGCGTGTGTCTGCTGGCAGGAGCCGATGGCGATCGGCCGGGGGTTTCCCGCTGCGGGCTCCGTGTCCGCCCCGGCGCGGAGCGGGAGCGGAGTTGGGCGCAGCGGCAGGAACCGCGGCCTCGGGGCGTCCAGCTTGTAACCGCCAAGTGGAGATTTCGAGCGGTTTCCAATAAATGAGGTCTTGGTTGGCAGCGTGAGTGTCCCGGTAGGTTCACTCAGTCCCCACAGCCAATTTCAGTGTTTCTCTAGAGGCAGATGAGCAGGGAGAGATGTTTTCCCCTTAATCTTGCAGCCCGGGTTCAGAACTGCAGTGTGGGAGCCCGAGTTGGTCATCCCACTGGGATATACACTTCAAATACTTTCCTTCAGTCCTGATCTGCCCCTTGTGAAGGTTTCATTGACTTTATTTTAGTGACTGTGCAACAGACATGAGGAAATTCTTAACAGAAAGGTGCAGGTATCTGATCATAGTCTAGAGTTTAGGTCAATGTAAAAAGTTGCATCAAATGCTGCTGGTTTCAGCAGAAGCCGCACATGAGATGTCTAAGGAATTCCAACCACCTTCTCAAAGCTTTTTTTTTTTTTTTTTTTTTCTTACCCAATTTCACCTTTGATCACTGTAAATCTGACCTCTCCCTCTTGCCTCAAGGCTTGTCAGTACAAGCTAGGCCCTTGTACCAAGGGAATGTGCTGGGGCATGCTAGTCCTTTAGTTGTAACTACACCAGAGCAGAGAAGTTATTTTATTTATTTATTTTTTTTTTAATCTGTTATGTGAGAATGAGATTTTGAAAACTTCGACCAGTGTGGTATTGCAAGGTACCATGCTCTCGCCACAGCGCACAGCCTGCGCCAAGACGGAGCTCTTCTCCACGGCCAGTGTGGCTCTCCCACACAGCAAAGTTGAGCCCTAGCCTTGGAAGATGATGGACCAGCTATGCAAGCTCCCAGCTCTGTTTTCAAAATGTTTTGTCCAATTCAGTGGTAGTTTCCAAATGGCTGCGATCACTGAAAGCTGAGCCCTGAGACTGAATTCTGACTTCAGCAAAACTCACCCTTAACTTTCAAGGGGGCAAAGAGTGTGGATTTTAGTTTTCAGGAGTTAGGAGGAAAGCTGAAATGGTGCTTCTTTGAAGTTTGACCTGCTGTTTATTCTGCTGGGGTGTGATAGCATCTAGAAAATCAACATAAACTCTTTAGCTGAGGGCTTTTTCCTCTCAACTCTATGGCTCAGCTTGTCTCCTTTTTGGAGGAGATAGCGATGAATGTGGAAGGGCAGGCTCTGTGGTATCCTCCTTTGCCTGTTGATTTGTGCTATATATGCATACAGCCCTGACAGAGCTGGCTTGAGACTTCTCAGCAGTGTTGGTAAAATCGAATGCTGTACTTCTGAGATGAAGGGCCATGTCCGAGCTGCAGCAGAAAGCCTTGGAGGCCTGATGGAGGTATCTGGGTGGAGTGAGGGCTTCTGCTGAAGAAGGCCAAGTGGTACTTACCTCGGAGGCAAACAAAGCACCAGCCCAGTCTTCTAGGGCTGTGGCATTGGCAGAAAAATCCTGTGAAAAGTACTAGAGAAGTCTACTTTGTCTAGATGTGGCCTTAACTTGTCAGTGATAGTAATTTCTGTTGCTTTGGGGAATATACTGAGAGGCAAAACACTGACGAGAGTCCACTACAGAAAGGGAAATATCTCAAGAAAGGGAAGTAGGACATAGAGGATTCACGGAGGATATGTTGAGAATATATAAAGGCATGCTTGTCCCATCATAAATACATGGAAGGAGAGAGTGTAATAAGCTGTTTGAATCCATACACATGTGGGTGACATCAGTGAAAGTGACTTGCATTTTCTTATGACTCTTGAATGAGTACTAGGAAGCCTTCTTGTTCATAGAAGGTCTGGAGATGTTTTTTCACCCTTTGAAAAATGACCATTTGGTGTATTATGTCGTCCTGCAGGTAAAAGGACACAGAAAAGAAGATGGACTGGGGAACTCTGCAGGCTGTTTTAGGAGGTGTAAATAAACACTCCACCAGCATCGGGAAGATATGGCTCACAGTCCTGTTCATCTTCCGTATCATGATCCTGGTTGTGGCTGCAGAGAGAGTCTGGGGAGATGAACAACAAGATTTTGTCTGCAACACACTTCAGCCTGGGTGCAGAAATGTTTGCTATGATCACTTTTTCCCCATCTCTCACATCAGGCTCTGGGCCCTGCAGTTGATCTTTGTTTCCACCCCTGCGTTGCTGGTGGCCATGCACGTAGCTTACACCAGGCATGAGAAGAAAAGGCGATTCAGAAATGGTGAGAAAATAGATATTGAAGAGCTGAAAAATGAAAAGATTCACATTCGGGGCCCCCTGTGGTGGACGTACACCAGCAGCATCTTCTTCAGGATCATCTTTGAAGCTGTCTTCATGTACGTGTTCTATTACATGTACGATGGGTACCAGATGCCTCGCCTGGTGAAGTGCAACGCATGGCCCTGCCCCAACACAGTGGATTGCTTTGTGTCTCGGCCCACTGAGAAAACCACATTTACTATTTTCATGCTTGCTGTGTCTGGGATCTGCATGATGTTGAATCTGGCTGAGTTGTGTTACCTAGTGATAAAAATTTGCATGAAAGAGTCCAGGAAAACAACAGTTTTAAAGTAATTCCCCAGTTTCAGGATTTCCTAGCTCCCCATTTCCCTCAAACTTTCTTAGGTATCAGAAAACAACCAGCAATATTTTCACACTCAAGGAAAAGGATAAAAATGAACATTCATTCATGTTTCAAAAATGATAGCCTCCCTGGGAAGCCGCCGCTGAGGTGGGTTTTAAAGATCAAGAGCTAATTCTGTATTCCTGCATCCACAAATAGAAAGAGCAGCCTTCTGGCAGCGGCTTTCCCAAGCATGCCTACTGCTGGGATCCTGTTGTTGGGACAGAGTCGCTTTTCAAAGAGTTGGAGCGGAAAGGCCCAGAGAAGTCTCTAGTGCCCAAAGGAGAGCCAGGAATCACAAACACACTGTGTCAGCTTCAGAGGCGAGTCAGTAACAGAGAGTTTTGGTCAAAAGTGGGGTGAAGGGTTTTGGGGGGAACTTCCGGCTTTTTATCTCCTCACCTGCACTAAGCAGCATCTCCTACAGGGTTGGGGGTGGCCAATCTCAACTGCTTGTGAATGCCATTAGGCCAGTGCTACCCCACTCCATGCACAGGGGCTGTAGCAGTGGGAGGAATGAAGTTTGCTTTTTCATTCTCTTGGTCAAGTGGAAAAAGGATTGCCATCTTTGAGAAGGTGAGGGCAGTGCAACTGTCTTCCCCAACACTGTTGTTCTCCCCCAACACTTTGTGAAGAATCTCAGTACAGTAGATTTTATTCAATGAAGAGACTTCTTACCGCCTGTGCCTCCTTCAGCTGTGTACCCTTAAAAGTTTTTTTTCAGTAAAAGCCAAGAAAAATTGCCTTCATTCTGTTTGTTAACCAAAAGAAGTATTTCAACTTACAGCATTATATGCAGTAGAGTGCACCTACCAGTGCTCCTTCCTTCAGTCCCTTTTCCCTATCCAACCTCCACAGCTTTTCTTCCTAAAACTGTCTCCCTATCTATCTGAGGTACCTTTCAGCTGAGTCCATCAAACCAGTCCCAGTCTCTCTGACATTCCACATTGTGAGACTGAATCATCCTTCCTCTTACAGTAGATCTAGCAGGAATTGCAGACAACTTTCAGAGCTAAAATAGCAAAGGGACCCAATCAGAAATGAGGAGGAACTTGATCTTTTTCTTAAAGTTCACATTGCTGAGCTGTGAATTGTGTATCACAAACTAGAAGAACTGTGAGTCAGTCTGGTCTTGTCTCTCCAAAGCAGTTTCAAAACATGTTTTATGCTTGTCATATGCTGCTACACCAGCACATCCAGCAACACAGTTTAGCTCCCAAGTGCCTGCCTATTGAACCCACTTCTAGAATGCTGGGTATTTATGCTCCGTAGCTTTAATAACTGGCTTTTCCTCAAAATGAATGAACTCTATCTCAGCTTCTCTATTTGCATCCATCCCTTACTGCACATTTAAGTTCATCACTGTTGGAGTAAACAAAGCTGCATGAATTAAGACTCATGACCCCTCACTGTGCACTGGAAGCCAAGCATAAGCAGGATCCCATTCCTTGTGAGCTACATCCAGTGTTACAATTCGACTGCAGATGGAAATCTGTCATCTAAGAGGGGAGCAAGAAAATCATAAAAACACCATCATCAGAAGCATGAACAAAAAGATGAAAAGTCATTAATAATGAGCTGAACTGGAAATCTGGACTATGAAAACATCCTTAATTCAACTCTAAAGAACAAAGCTTGGCACATAGCAGGTTTGTTCTTGGTAAAGTTCCTGCATTGTTCCGTGTACAAGTACAAAGAGAACAAACTATCTACACTCCCAGTGCTCTAGTATTACATTTCTTTTGTAACAACAGGGTTTTTATTTTTTTTTTTCTGAAATTATAAATAAAGCACTCTTGTGTCTGTTTTCTGTATTACTTGTACGTGCTGTGTATTACCTAATGTGTCTGATGAAAATCTGTTTACCATAATGGCAAATGTGTGCACCGGTAGTACATTTAGTAGCTAAAGGGCTACTGTAAGGATTTTAGCCTTCTGCTGCAGGTTGTTTTTTCAATTGGTTACATTGCCTGTTACCCTGCAGACTTCATGAGCTGATAGCGGAAGGTCACATATGTGACTCCTACCAGAAATGAGATGTGCTGTCTAAGTCAGCCTTATACTAGTGGAACTGCAGCTGGAAAAGGCTGGTGATAAATAACTTAACCAGCTCCATAGGGGAGGGACTGTTTTCCCAGCCTGCCTTTGAGTTTAACTGGAACTTGGAATGAGACACACCAAAACTGGTAACGCTATTGCTATGAGGTTATCTTCAGCTAGCAGTTTGACAACCAGATTATAACAAAGGGAAAAAAGATAGAAATAGGGAAAGTGTCTGGAAGTGTTCAAGAGGGGACTTTGGTCTGGAACTGCAGCATCAGGTGGTAATAGCTCTATCGCGGCATATTTACTGTCTCTCTCTGAGATTCATTTTCTGTGAACATTAAATTTGGCTAAATAGCTGCTTTGTAGGGAAAAAAGTTTGGAACATATTTCATAGGAACATAGGCATTGCACCTATTGCTACATGTGCTACATTACATGGTTGACATCCTACAAATGGATTTCATACAGATTAAAATACATTGCTCTGTTGGAATTGTGTGTTCTTTCCCCAAATACACTAGAAGTATCTACATTTTTGGCACTTTGTTCCTAGGCTCTTCTCAGAATGAAGATTGCAAGAGTGTTGAAAAGAGAAGTAGCAACTCTGAAGTTGTAACTGTAAAAGAGGTTGATTCCTCACTGTTCAGTGTATCCAGGATATAAAATGTCAAATAATGTGGTATCCAAACTGGGATGGTTAGTGTTGGAGTGAGACTGGCTAGAATTATACTGTAATTGAAATCACCAGGGAAAATCACCATTGACTTCATCAAGCTAAACTTTCATCCAAAACCTTGAAACCAAAACTACAAACATGTTTGTCAAAGGAGGAGGGAGGAGGGGAAGCAAACTTCACCATTAACTCATAGACCCAGCTGGAGAAAGAAAAAAACTAACTCCCATGGGAGAAAGACTGCTTTAAAAGGGGATCAAAAGTGTAAATCTGTATTTATGACTTCTGGATATAGAATTACCTTTAATAAAGGTTTTCTTAGACAAAAATAAATCCCTCAGATGTTTTACAGTTACCACGAGCCAATGTACTGTGTTATTTCCTATATGACAGCAAGAATATAAAAGACAAATTATATAGTCTATACAGAGAAGAGCACTCCTGTGCCATGGAAGTTCAATTTAAAATAACAACACTGTTAAAAATTGCTTTATTTTGTAAACAGTGTACTGCAGCAAGTAAGCAGCAGCTAAGAGCGCTTTACTACAAACTGAACTTGGTAAAAATTAGTCTTTTCTCCCTAATCATAATTCCCTCCCCTGCAACTTAAACTAATGTGATTTACCATGCAACAAAATCACACTCAAAGAACTGCACTGTATTTTGTGGCCACCTGTTCTGATATTCAGGACAGCCACTACCCTGGGTGTTAATTACAAGTTTCTTTGGATTTTTCACCATCTTATTATCTATACAGTCATTTTAACCTGTTTGTAGACAGTGGCAAGAGTAATGGTAACTATCAGAGGCTTAATGAGCTAAGATTAATGCTAATGATCTTCAAGACAGTTCAGGAGGTACATATACTTTTTTCTCCATCTGACTAACCCAGCTTGTCATTGAAATTTTCTTTTACAGAATATATTTCTCTTCTGTAAAGCTGGCCCAGCTCTGACCTGGGTATTTTCTCTATAAGCCTCCCTAGCCACCAAAACAAAGTCTTTATAACCTATGTTTGGAAATGTATTAAGCTTTAATCAGCAAGCCTAGCTGAGGAAACAAGTCACACCTCTTGACTTTCCACCTTTGAGAACATAGCTTGCCCCTGCTATGGTTGGTCTCCCAGTACTACCATAGAATTCAACCTCAGAATTGGCCTTATAATTGCACATAACTTCTCCCTTTTTCTTCCCATTAAATCACTGCCACTAACTCAATGATTATTTTACATCTGCCGGCTCTGTGCTCAATCCACTGTATTTGAATAAGCCATCTACTAAAAAATGTGCTCTCCAAGAATACCATCAGGTAGACAGATGCTTGCAAAAGCCTTTCTGTTAAAGGAGTGGTATGGTATCCATATGACATACAGTTTAGGGAAACATGTTTTGCCTGAACTAATAGAGAACTTACACAGCTGAGCTAGAAATCACTGCGGGTTGTAGATGAATGTTTTGAACACCACTGTATATTCTGTGCGCTGCTAAGAACCAGCACTTCACTCGCAGCCTAGCACAGTACCCAGGATAATAAAGACCGTAGTGTGCGAATGCAGTCACACTGGTCTGAATCAGGCGGCATTTTTCAGTGGACAAGCAGTGCTGGGCAGGCTTATGTGCTTAGGCAAGGTATATCTTTTCTGTTGTCTTGGCAATTATGGTAATATAGGCTTGTCAGCTGGGAAAGACAATACTAGTCTTAAAACTGTTTGAGTCAGGATCATGAAATTTGGTTTAAAAGTGTTTTGCAGATCATTTTCTACTGAGATTCTATCTTTAAGACAATACATAAAAATTACTCCCACACCTCTAAGCGATCCACATGTTGACAGGAATGCTGCACCTTCTTTTAATGGGGTGACTGGAAAACTTGATATCTGCTTGGTATCCAACTATCAACATTTATTTTGTCACAAGACTTCTTTCACTTGATTTCAAGGTATTATAGCAGTCCTAGTACACAGAGTCAACCCTGATTTCACTGACTCTGAGTTTCCCCAACTGCAAGTTAAAGGTGACAACTATGTCATGTTCACAGGGAGCAGAACAGTTTAATCAAGCATTGTCTGTTGAGATCATTGCAACAGGTGCCAGAAAAATTATTTTATAATTATTTGTGTGGTAAAGATTTCAAACCTATTGTATGTTGCATCATTAGTGTAATGTCTGCTTAGGGTGGTTAGTCATGTCCCTCCCCTAGGTGTTGCATCCTTTCCAAGGACTGAGTGTTTAATATACAGTTTAAATAGCTTCCACAATCTCTCCAGCATAAATAAACAAAAACAATTTTTACACTTAACCACACGCTTGTGCACACAGACAGAGAGGAACAACTGACTAAATCATTATGTCACTGTTATCTGATAGAAAACTGAGACATTGCAACATGGATTTGTCATGAATAATTTCTGCCTATGCCATGATAAAAGCTTTTGTGTATAGCAGTAAAATAGTTATTAATGACTCAGTGTCAGAGTGTGAGGATCCACCAAATGGGATAAACTGGATGCAGCTGGGAGGAGCTGCAGGTACATGGGGAGATAGGCTTAGAATTCAATAAGATCTTTATCACCAGAAGTACTTTAACAAAAGCAGTTTGAGAAGTTAGGAAGGACTAAATGCTACTATTGTGAAACATTAAGCTCTTGCAGAACTGTAGGATGGAGGCCTTTTCTGAAGCAAAGAACAGTTTTGTAGAGTAAAGCTGGAGTTTGTATTAGGTCATCAGTGGAACATACGTCAATAACTTTGTTGACTTGGAAAAATATCATACTGGTATGCATTAAAGATTTGTCAAAAATAGGATGTTTGCAATAATGTTTCCACCTTTGTTAGCACCTGAAGGACATTATCTAAACTCTACTTTGAGGCCCCATCTGCCCCAAAATCCCATTTATCAGCTGGAGAAATCCAGGAGTCAGGAATAATGTATGACCAAATATCTTAAAACACAGAAGCTGTGAGGAAGGCCTGAAAGAAGTTAGCTGGCTTGGAAAAGTCTGAGGAAAGACCCAACAGCACTCTTCAAATATGTAGAATATTGTGGCAAAGATGAAGATGTTGCCCTTTACATCTACTGGCGAAAGGACAAGAAGTAATAGGCTTACACTGCAATGAGATGTAGTCTAGTCACAGCACAACCTTTCTCTGAAGAGGGCTGAGCATTGAGTTGGATGACAGACTTTCCATCACTGAGGACTGTTAAGTGGCAACTCGGTCCAACATCTGCTGAAGATGGTCTAGATATAGCACTGTGCTCTAGGACAGAGGGAACTTCTAAAATCCGTGAGGAAGGGGACCCAACTGAAAGAGTCACTTGTACACGTTCCTTTTGCTGAGCCAAAGCTCAGCTGCTGAATCAAAATCTTTTTCATATAAAGTCAAATCTACCTGTCAGTGCTGGGTCTATCCAGTATGATCTCTGTCAGCATGGTTCCTCTGTGCTTTTAGAAATTCTAATAATACAATACATTCTTGCGCTATAATAAATTCCACCTGACAAAGTGTATGAGGTGGCCTTGTGAGTGAATAAAATTGTAATTAAATTAAGTTGGTGATGGGATTTTTTCTTTTTTTTTTTTTTTTTCTCCTCAGCAGAGTGAATAAAAAGCTCCTTCTGCCTCGGTTTTGTGTCTCACAAAATAGGCCTTCCTCCCAATAGGAGGAAGACCAAAAACCCAGATCAATTTTCAGTTTTGCTGCCCAGTTGACTATACATGTGAACATTGGTGGAGTTCACTGAGGCCTGGTCTGCATCCAGGAGAAGTTTCACAGCAATAGCATGCTGTTTTGTGTTTCTGGTTTCTTTCTTTTCAAAGGCAGACCATCATGTTGTGCAGCAGTTCAAATTTTGTAGAGAAATTTTGCTATACATGAGCTTGGTTTTCAAAGCAAGATATTTATTTCTGTTCCTTTCTGTGGAAGACAGACAGTATTTGAGGCCTTTACAAATTCATTGTGCACGTCAGCAAGGTATATTCCTGAAAAAACATACTGTATTTTCTCTTATCTCGAATACAATGAAAAAGAACACCCTTGTTTAGGAGCTTTGGTTGTGATTTGGCACTATGAATTGTTCACTGGTAGTACCAGTTTAGGGCAGTAACACTGATGTCATCCCTTCCTGCTCATTCTTATCCTGTCTGTGTCTCTCTCCCACCCCATTCAACACAGTGCCTCCGCTCCAGGACCTTTACTGTGCCAGACAGTTTCTTGCACAGCTGCGCTCAGAACTGGATTGGTTGACTGTTGTAGCTGATGAAGAAACAAATGTTTTGCTTTGCTGCATAGATTTTTAGCTGGATCAATTCCTTGATCTAGCTTACAGCAAGGCCACATGAGCTTCTATGCTGACGTGACTGTGGGGCAGTAGGCCATGGTGTTGGGCAAGAAGAGCTGCAGGGAGTGAGCGGAAGGGGTGGAGGGAATGGCAACACGTAAAGTTTATTTGCTGCTACACACACTGCAATTTCAAACCACAGCCTCTGGCTGTATTTTCATAAGTGACTGCTTCTAGAAAGGCAAAAGTCTTACTGCCTTTCCCCTCTCTAGCTGCTGTACCTTCCCTGCTCTCTGCAACTCTCTACTGGCCCTGCTTCTCACCTCCTGGCCATCTCCCTTGCTCCAGTGCAACCTCTTCTCAATCTTTGTATGAGCTGATTTAACTCACTAACTCAACAGAGAACTATTTGAACTCTGCATTTTGATTTGGTTTTAGCTCAGTTAGCTTCCTGCCATGCTGGTGGCAGGCATTAATGTATTTAAAATATCAATATTTTTATTTCTTCAAATTTCTGCCAGTAGTGTGGAAAAAAAAAACATCATACCAGGACAGAATGAAAAAAGGCACCATTCCTCTCAGGATTCTGCATGTCCTGTGTCTCTCTTTTTTGATCCTTCCTCCTAACAGATGCCTGGCTTGTACAGTTACAGTTCTTCCTCTTCTACATCTCACATGGAAATTCTGCTTCCATGAAGATGACCTGAAAATATCTCACTGGTACATATCCCAGAACAGCCTGATTTTTTTGTTGTATTAAGAGACTTCCCACACTTCCCAAAGCACTTTTGAGAAGAAGGCTGTTCTGGTGGGTAAAACACCAGCCTCAGTGCCATTCTCAGAACCGTATAACCTAGGACGAGTCATTAAGTCTTCCTGTGCCTCCATTCCTACAAACTAGAAGTCACAATAACTCTTCCTACAAATTAGAAACAAGAATAATTCTTCCTGTCACCAGTTCTTATTTGTTAGTATTCTGTGTTGTCTGACATGCTTGTCAGTACTGTCTAACAGAACACTAATCACTAATTGGTATAATAATTACTATATA